ATTTACTTTTTTCCTATATTTTTGTTTTGTATTTCTTATTTCCTTTAAAAAAAAAAAAAAAAAACTTTATTCATGAAGCTAGTTCAGTTTATTTACTCTGATCGTCATTCATTTAAGCTCTGAAACATGCGGCTTTAAGTCATTTTACATTACTAAAAATGCTGATATTTGAGCCATTTAAAGTTCCATTCACGTATTACTACGCTTTTAAAAATATTTAAATTTTAAAATTTAATTCTATATGATGCAAATTCAATTCATACACAAATTAGGTGTCTACATACAGTATTTCCCTCTCTTTTTCTTTAATAAATATATTAAAGCCCCAGGGGCACCTCACATGAATAAGTCTTGACCGGAGTTCCTAAGAAAAACGCTTGGAGAAACTGAGGAGAAGGCGGACGAAAAGAGACCCAGATTTCGAAAATTGGAACACATCAGCAGTAGAAAATGAAGTTTGTTTGGAGCTAAACGGATCTCAATTAAAATAACACGTTGAAAAACGATTATTGGAGATGTTAAGCCAACAAGAATCAGCTTAATATTCATAAATTTGCAGCAATAATGCGAAAGGTTTAAATACAGAACCTTCTTCAGCTACAGAAGGCCAAAATCCGAAGAAGAGGGTTCTATATTTAAATCTTCGACAAGTAGTTCTGCAAATTATTGTACTTTTTTAACATTTCCAATAATATCAGCAGTAGATAAGGTTACAATGAGCTAGACTAAGAAACAGAAGTATCGTGAAATCACACCTTTGGAAAGTTTCGCAAGTGTGAGAAGACCTGCCACGTCCGGGTAGCTTAACGATGAATCTGCACCAAATTCGTTTCATATAATAAGTACAAAGGGAAATAAAATGGATGAAATTCTAATACATAAATACAAAAACACTAAATAAAAATAAAAATAATCAAGAGAATATGATTTACTAATAAACTAGCTCTCAACTATAAAAATTATGTAGAACAGAGGGAAGGGAAAATTTTCATAACGTAGCGCTATAAGCGCAGAGGAAAAGAGGCAATGAAATACGGTGTATCTAGCATTTTTCAAACATATTGTTATGATCTACGGGTTCCGGCAGACCTATTTACAACTATGCCACATGACAAAAAAAAAAAAAAATATCGATAATTTATTGTTGACCGCAAAACAAACAGCTGCAAATAGCTTAAGGAGACCACAAATATTGAACAGATTCTCGTAAACACATGAGAAATATCTCAGGTTACCGATATCGCTAGCAGAGTAAACGCTAAATTCACAATTCATTAAGCTAACTCATAGAACTGGACCAAGTTTCTGAAGTAACTGACTTATTAGTTTTCGAAGCCGTATTTGTATGGAATTACTCAGCCTTCTGCAAACTTCGAGAAAAATCTTTCTTAAAAACTTCATCAAAATGCGTTTTCGCAATGTTGCCAAGTTGGTGAGAAATATAAAATATTGCCCATCACTCGAGTTTCTCCTTACATTTCAGCTTCTGGGTGAACTATTCAGGATCTAAAATTTACATAAAAAATAAATGCTGATGATCGTCTCCAAATTCAATTACGCAAAAATACGTTCCAATATTATTACACAAAATGCAGCAAATAAATAGATAAAAACGCTACATAACATGATAACACTATTTAAAAATAAAAAATTCAACCAAATGGATTTAAAATATTTACGGAAATTTACAACAGGAGCATTTGTTTACATTTAAACCCTATATATCTTAGTTGCTAACGTAGAATTATTTCTGATATGTCAAACATAATTAATCAAAAAATAACTTCGAAATTGTTAAAGTATATTTGAGTTTCAATGATTTTCAAAACGAATATTTCCTAAAATAAATAATGTGCGGTGTATTCATTTGATCTTAATGAAAGGTACTCACAAAGGCACCGGATTTAGCATAGCCAATTAACGGCTTTATTCCTAGAAAATGGAAAATAGTTTTACCTGCTTACAGCTGATAAATAATAATAAACAATAATTAAATGTTCCAATTTAACCGTTTGGTAGGTAGGTTACTGAAGACGGGGACGCCTGGTGTCTAACAGAGGTAAAAAGGCATATGTCACACGCCCTCTTCTACCTAGAGCAACAGCTCCCACGAGGCTGCTCCGTGAGTTTATTGAGGCTGTCAAAAGAAAGTATATGGTCTTACAAGGGCATTAGTAGGATGGTATTACAGATAAGAAATCTGGGGTGTTACAGATGGTAAGTAGTTAAAAATACAAAAAGACATACACATAAACAAATAGTACACAAAGTGCATAAACACACAACACATAAAACAGGTACATACACTTAGTTACATTAAACACAAAAAGACGTACATACGTATTAATACGCATGAATACAGATGGGAATGCACAGGTCCATAAAGGCGCGAATGGCACATGAGAATATAGCGTAAATGATATGACTGCATGTTTAGAAATGGAAGTATAAGTATAATGTATAAAGGACATGTGGTCATGTGATGGCCTGTTAATTTCTCAATTGGAGCACAAGAAGTTACGTGAAGGCTGGAGCACGAAGTTAGTATTGGCCAGTTCTGCAGTATATAAACACGGGTACACCTTAAATGATGAGTTCGTGAATACTCGTGTGTGCAGGTGAGTGCAGTTAGTTTGCGTATTCAGTTGGTGTTGAGGTACATTGATTTCGGTAACTTTTCTAAGGCACTTATTATTGTGGCATTAGTCACTAAAGTAGCACATAGGGAAAGTACTGTTTACGATATCATTGATAACGGTTACAGTAATTACTGTGGCACTTACTTAGAGACACTCAGATCATTCACTGGCTAGGCACTGCACTAGATCATACTTATTCAGATACAACTGCAGAGATGACATATATCTTGGAGGGTGTAATGCTCAGTTGTAAAGCACTGATTGCTATGTACAGATGTAAGGCGTTGATTATTGTAGCGTCAGCCACTAAAATAACACTTATTAAAAACATTGATTAAAAATAGCACGAGGATGCTGTAGCACTAATTACTGAGGCACTGCACCGTGAGGCACACAAACGTTCACTAACGCTGCACTAGAAGATGCTTGTCCACATGCTGTTGTAGGGATTATACGCATATCATTAAGAAGACATTACACATTTCACTGAGGAGATGTAATGTACTTGCGAATTATTAATATTGTACACTTAAAATTAGTGGGAATGGGAGCTTAAACTCACAAAGTTGTTATGCGCAGATATTGTAATATCCATTGGACTAGTGGTAGAGCTTATCGTCAGTGAACCAGAGCTTGGAGGCCGAAGTCTGCTTGCCTGCGTCATTTTAGCACGGTTGGCAGAAGATTTGTACCCAATGCTGCGACGGTATTAATGATGCTGGAGATTGAATTAAACCGTTCCTTTATGCGTTATAAGGAACCGGTGATATGCGTCTCTGGTTATTTGCAGGTACCGGGAGATGGTGTGTAGCCGTCAAAAGACATTTAAAGGGTCGGTCGGTCCTTGACTGACTGACTCTTCGCCGTCGAGGGAAGAGTTGGTTGAAGGTTCGTCTTCCTTTCTGGCATTCTGTAAACTCTCTTTGCCATTGTTTCATCCCTTGATCTCGTACGAGGCTCTTTAGTTAAGAGGAGGGTGCAGGTACGGTGATGGGTTGGGCTATCGGGTTGGAAATTGCATTTTTGACCAACATGTTTGGAGCATCGTCGCCCTCATTATTCGCATGGGCTTTAACCCAGACCAGGTTGAAATGGTATTGAGGGTCTTGCATAAGGAGATGTTGGAGATTGAGTATGAGCGCTGAGACATGCTAGTGGTTCTCAGGTATAAGCAAAGTTGACAGGCTATCAGTACAGATGGTTGCTCACGGGATGTGGTTATCTATGAGCTATTGTACTGCAGTCGTAATTTCCAGCACTTTTACCTGGAAGATGCTATTGTGAGTGTCAAGCAGTCGAATTCAATTTTGCCATTCTCATAGTGCACAAATGCGCTGCCTACACCATTATCCTGCTTTGAACTGTCTTTGTAGATTTGTGTCCCGGTCCGTGTTATGTGCGTTGGGGTGTGAGTCTTTTGCTTGTCAATTGTGATGCGGACTCCACTTCCTCTGAGAGCTGGATGGGTATGAAAAGAAGTGAAGGAACGTTCCAACTGGACTGGATAGTAGTTGGCGTTTGCGAAAGTTGCAATCAGTTTAGTGAAAGTTGCCTCCATCTCTGTTTTTATATGGAGTAGTAATGTGCCAGCTAGAACTGTCGCTGCGCTAGTCGCGGTTGAGGGGAGGCTTTGCTTAATCGCAGGCGTTGTAGCGTTGTAGTTGCTTGAACTTGCGAGCTTCCATAGGCTGCGCCCAAATCACAACAGCGTATAAAGCTATTTTTTTCTGCAAATGGGGGTTCTGGTCCCAGTTGCAACCTTGAAATTGTGTTGCTATGCAGGCGATAATTGACGTTTTGTTTCTGATTTCCATCATATGGGTAATCCAGGTGAGACCTTGGTCCCATATTGCCTCTAGATATTTGAGATTCCGCACCATTTTGATGTTTCTGCCTAGGAGTTTGATGCCTGGACGACGCGTTGAATTGGTACCTCGTCTGGGAATTATAATTGCTGACGATTTTTCTCTGGAGATCGTGAACTTTAGTTAGCTGCATGCGGTGACAAATAAGGTGCAGGCCTCTGTGCTGTTGAGTTCCAGTTATTCCCTGGTGCGTCTTCTTACGAGCAGAGCTACGTCGTCTGAATAAGAGTGATGTTTGTATGCGGTGGCCAAGTTTGTTCTCCCAATGGAATTGTTAGGCTATGGGGGTGGAGAAGTGAGGAAGTTGCGGGGGGTTATAAGGAATGGTTGGTGAGGGATGGGAGTGAGAGGTGGGTGTGGAGTTTCTTATGTTGTTGCGGGTTGAGTTAATGAGTGGAGGGTGTTGTGTGAGAAGATAAAATAGGTACATGGTAATGAGAATAGGGGGGAGAAAAAGTTTGGGGAAATTGTGGGTGGTGGGGGGGAGGAAGTAGGAATGGGTATGGCGTTAGGGTTGGGGACGAAAAGGGTATGTGGGTAGAGGAGTCTGTCTAGCGGGGAGGTGAGGGATGGGGGGGAATGTAATGAGAGAAGGGGGAGGGCTGGGGATGGGAGTTGTTTGAGTAGCGTTTTGTGATATTAAGTCGCTGTTGTGAGTGTGGCGGGGGTGTGTCGGGGTGGAGAAGGAGGGTATTTTGATTGGGGGGTTTGGCGGGTGGTGGTGTTTTTTTTTCTTTTTAGTAAGTGGACCGAAATTGTTCCTTCCAAAAACTGGGCATACGTTATTTAAAAATGGTCCCATATCGGCCGCAATCAAATATAGCGAAGGGGTCAATAGAAATATAGTGAAAATTATCCGTAGTTATGTTAAAAATTTTCATAAAAGCTGGGATAACTATGTCAATGAATTAGCTTTCGCCCTTAGGACCGCAAAACATGATGCAACGGCCAAAACTCCTGCTGAGTTATTTTTAGGCAGAAAGATTATAACGCCGTTAGATAAATTATTTTATGTTCAACAAAGAGCCCCAGAATTTAAAATGGGCAATATAGAAAAATTAATTAAAGAAGCAAAAAAGAACACTGAAGTAGCACAGAGAAAACAGAAACTTTATTATGATATGAAACGACAGGGAGTAACTTATAAAATAGGAGATGAAGTGTTAAAATTAAGCATGCACTTTTTTCAGCACCAGAAGATAAAACTGCCAAATTTGTTCCACGATTTGAAGGACCATATGTCATAGAAAAAATAACTCAGGCTGTAGTGGTGTTAAAAGCCAGGAATGGTGAAACATGCTCCGCAAATATTGACCAGATAAAACCATTCTATAATCGTAATAAAATGCAAATATTTAAAGATCTTTTGCAGGATTCGGCACGGCAGGCACTGCAGGCACAAGCTCCAGATGTGGAACAACGACAATCACAAGGGCAAGCCATTAGGAGGCAGGAGCAATTGAAAGAAAGTTTCCCCGTTGGAAAATTGAAGGTAACAAGAAAAGAAGCCGTTCCACCGACAAGAAAAGAGAGAGCACTAACCACCCCCAGAATGAAGAAGGGAGAAGTACTACGAATGCAAAGAGAGCCAGGAGAAATGACGGCAACTATAACCCGGCTCCAAAACGGAAGATCTACCCATCGGACAGGAGTCTACGCAGCAAATGTCGACGAATTGATGAAGGAACACCAGCTGCGGAGGCAAAGAAACAAGGAAACAGCCAGCAACGAGATCCAAGCAGGAACGAGAGAGAGTTGTCCCGGTTCCGCCAAGACCACAGGCAGAGGCTAAAAAGAAGGTCTTCAAGGGTGACCAAACTGGAAGGAAAAGAAAGCTCATGGAGGAAGGAACTGAAGGGCGAACCCGCACAAGAAGGAAGATAAACCAAACCGTAATCTTCGCTACCTTCCAGGACTGGGCAGAAAAAAGGATGTCCGAATATCACAAAGATAAGTAAATCTTTATGTTACTTTGAAACCTTAAGTTAATCTTTCATTCTTACTGCAAGTGGCAGAATTCAAGACGTTTTACCACATGTGAGGTCTACCTTTATCGCCAAAAAGGCGAGAAATGAGTTGTTACCTATTTTGGTATTATGTTTTTCAATTACTTACTCGCGAGTAAACTAAAATTAGTGTATAATAGGAATGTGGTAAATACTTGAATATTGTAAAAGTTATTGTATAAAATTTTTATTTAAAAGATTCTGGCAAGTAAGATTTTTAGTCTGAAAGACTTTTGAATGTAGTATTTCAATATAGAAGTTATTGGCACTTGCTTGGAAAAGAATAGAAGTTAACAATGTACTACTAATGTATGTTTAAAATGCGTAAATTTAACGGCATGTTAATATGTCCTTATATACAATGTGAACTGTTATTTTAAACGTTAAGAAATACTGTGATATGTTAAATGAAAGTATGCCAAAAATTTTATCTATTCGTGTGACTGTAAAAAGAGCAATTATTGTGAATATGTGTTAAAGTTGAATGAATGTAGTTAGGCTCTCTGACGCTACACTTCAGAGTTAGCCACTTTCAGAATAGTACCTCAGGGTTTAGAGATGAATATAAGGTGTGTTATGAGGTCTTGGTATGTTGAATTTTAACACGTTAGTGTTTTGATTGCAGGCGGTAGTGTTGAACACTTGTACATAAACACGTTCGTGTTTGGTGTTTTCCTTTACAACACATGTCAGAGAGCACGGGGAGATAATTAAATAACGTCATTAATGAAATAAGAATGTTAAGAGAAATATAAGTATTCATGTTACTTGCCATTTAATTGTGTAACATTTCATTAAACTAGTTTTCCTTCCAGATCTCTGGAAGGAACCAGATTTCAACTAAGAACTCCTGTTTAGATGCAGTACAGATGAAAAGTAATTGTCCCATGGAGTTGATAATGTAAAAACGACTTTTTTTTTTTTAATTTCTAGTTTCAGTGAGAATGTTTGTTAAAAGATTGGCCTCGCGTTAGATTCTAGAGCTAAAAGTTTTCAACAAGGTCGTTTAGACCTAAGTTTCAAACTAATTAACTCTGGCGGGAAGTATGTAAGGATCTTAAGTTTTACTAACGTTTATTTATTTTAAATCTTTACTATCACTTCTTAGTTTCTACTTCCGGCCAGAATTAAAAGCTTTAACTTATTTATGCAAATTTGTCTTGCGAACGCCAAGTACTTAAGTTGTGGCTTTTTGCCAAGCAAGAGAGAGGAAGGAGCTATTAGAAGCAGGTCGCTTGCCATAGTAGTTTTACTCGGTTGCTGGTTGCCTTCAAGGCCAGAGGTTTAATCCTCTTGATAATTTTAAACGTATCGTAGTGTTAGCAGTTCTCTGTACTACATATGGCTTTTTTTGCTAATATACGGCCAATCTTGGAGTAGGCACTTGTTTTGATTAATCCAAAGTTAAGTTTAGTTAGAGTTTAGTTAATATTTTTAGATTCTTACGTTCAGACCACAAGTGGTTGGTCTCTGTATTCCGAAGTCCGGAAATCATTGTAAAGAGAGAAAAATAAAGGGTTTCGTATACCCTTCCTGTGTGTATTATCTACTTCCCAAATTTATTGAACATAGCTTTAGTAAGCTCCCTGTTCCGAGTCAGGACATTTAATGTTCCCAAAGCAAGTAAGGAGGAACACAGAACCTGATAATATATATATATATATATATTCACTCTCTTACTAGGCTCAGTAAACTCTTTTTTTATTCTAGTATGTCGGTAAACTGTACATGTTTTGGTTAGAAAGGTGATTGAAATATGTTGTTCTTATGTTCCGGTAAAGGTTTTTATGGCTTTTAATCTGCATCAATAGTTGTAGAATTATCAACAATTTAAAAATGGGGCTAGACTTAACGAGACCGCTTTTTCTTTTATATTTGTAACTCTTAGTAGTCTTCTGCTCAGTAGGACGAAATGGTAACTTTCATTGTTGTGCACCGAAAATCTTGTCTTTCTATCCGCTGGCCAAATTGCTTGTTTTTGTGTACAAAATCTAATTTTAATTGCAAAAATTGTTTTTTATCTGTTTTTAACTATATTTGGCGTTTTATGTTTTTCTGTATTTTAAAATTTTGAATGGAGCTATTTTAAATGTTTATGTATTTTTGCCTTGCCGCGAAGTGATTGAAGGAGAATATATCTCTAAAGAAATTCGAGGATATACGTTTAAATGAAGTGCAGCAAAAAAAATGTGCATAATTTAAAATGCCGTACAAGGAAGTCATATGGTGTATACATCAGATATTTATTAATGAAGTCCAATATTTATTTATCTCAAGTCGCCCAAATTTGATTTTCATATCTCAAGTCAGTTCGAGTTGCGCTTTGCTTTATGGGCGTGTTCCGTATTTTAAAACGAAGGATTGGAAATGTTGTCCATGCCAGTAAGTACTTGTGAACTTGGGAAATACGATACCATAACGGAGTGCTCTTACATTATTGCAATTTGATTTTCGTACATTGTAGATGAAAATATGAGGATAATAAAATACTTTTGGACATTTTCATGGACAAACTCTTTCAGCAATATAAAGCCATGTAAACGACGATTAGTAGACTCACAAGCTGCCAGTTTTCAAAGCATCAGCATAAGTACTCTTGAGTATGAAGTTAATAACAAGCAATTAGCATTCGATAGTACCTATGCTTCTGACATATCTAATTACTAATAATAAATAAAGTTCTTAACAACTTTGATTGACGAAATCTCCCAATTTTTAATTATTTATTTTTTCATTCTTTTCTCCAAAGAAAGCGAAGAGCTTGTTTTATAATCAACGAAAATTTCTGAATTAGAGATGATACATTTTTAGATATTGAAATTTTAAAATAATAAACGACGGAAATTGAATTGGAAGGTTTTTAAAAATAAGCCAAAATATAAGAACGTCACTCATTTGATGGTGCGTACAGTAGAATTTTGAGATTTTTAATTTATTCTTTTTAAACGAAGATATGCTCGAAAAGTCTTTTCAGCATTAAATTTTTAAAAAAATCAAATTTGGATGGAAAAAATGGCTTCACTGCGTTGTATTGCCATCCACAAGCAGTGTTTATGCAACATTCCAGCTCGAAAACTTATCAGGAAATAGTTTTAAAATCGATGGCAAACTTTTGTAGATACCGACAGACACCATGAGTAAGCTAAATAAAGAAAAGTGAAAAAATTCAGAATCGTGCTGAAAATAACATTTTACCATTTATTTTCATTGGAAAACTAATTTTAATATTTTTTTCTGACAGGTATTCTCCCATTGGAATCATGTTTTTGATTATAGGAAACATCATGGATATTGAAGACTTGGCTGTTACTGCCCAGCAGCTAGGCTTATATATGTTAACTGTCATCGTTGGTGGTCTCCTTATACATGGTATTATAACATTGCCAGGAATATATTTTCTTATCACGCGAAAAAACCCATGGACATTCTTCAAAGGTATGCTTCAAGCTTGGGTGACAGCGCTTGGTACGGCATCTAGGTGAGTTTATCTGTAGTTATTGTGTTTTTTTCTCTAGAAATCCTCACTGATGAGTTGTTGATAAACCTGACCAATTAGATCTCTGCCTTTTTTTTTTATTTATTTTTCTCTGACTGCCTCCTTATTTTTAATTTCAAATTCCTTTTCATTCAGTCAGTCAAATCAACCAGATGTGACATGTTTTTTCGTTATTTAGTTTTATTTTAAATATTAAAAGATAAAAATGACTGTCCTTCTAAAATAGCTTAATTGATCCAGAAAACGTGTATTTCAAATTTAATGTGTTCTGTACTAACTTTTAGAAATTTGTTAATGAAAATTGTAGCACATATAGTTTTTTTTTTTCCCATACAGAGGAATATTTTATTTTGATCTCTTTTTTATTCTTCGTGGAAGTTGTCTATAGGCTGGAACTGTTGTTAGCTGTATATCACCACTAACAACTATTCCATCAACATCACCAAGCAGAATCTTTCTGTGCCAGTTCTTCTACAGATTAATTTTCATTCAAACTCGGACTATTTTTATGGGCAACTTTCAAGATATAAGGTTACAAAATGCGTTCATTTCAGTTTGTTACGTTCACTTTACAGAAACTATCTTGAAGAACTTTCTGAAATCTCTTATTATGTTAATATTAGTGTGTGTTATTTCAGCTATAATCTGTCATTCATAACCTATTATTTATTATAAATTACTTGCAATTATTCGGAAGTTGAAAATCACAACTGAAAGTTTATTTCAGTTACATAAGCGTATAAACTCATCTTAAACAGTCCAGCGCAATGTAGTGTCCTGAAAAAAGGAAGAGGATGTTCTACCTACATAAATACTGGCACCTAATCTTTCATAACTTGAAAGATCTTATCTCCGGCAAATATAAACACGGGGGAAATTACAGAATGTGCATATCGCCTTACTCATGCTAGACGTGGGGAAGGCATTCGATCGCGTCTGGCATGAGGGGCTTAATTATAAACTTATAAATCTCCCTATGGATAGAGAGAGCTGATTCAGCTAATTATGTTTTTCATCACTAATAGGAAATTCACTGTGGCTATTGGAAAGGACTTCTCCAGTTTACGCACCATAAATGCAGGCGTCCCACGTGGGTCCATTTTAGGGCCCGTCCTGTATTTATTTTACGTTTCATGATTTCCCTAGGGCTCACATCACTGAAATCACAGACTTGGGTGCAGAAACAGACAGAAATCACTTTCTTGGATGCTATGCGGACGATACGGCATTAGCCGTAAAGTCCACAAACGCACACCATGCAATCAAGAAGTTACAGGAGCCTCTGCCAGAGGTAGAAAAGTGGTGTATGACGTGGAAGATTGCTGTTAATGCCAGCAAGTCGCAATTATTAATGATAAGGAGGAAAAATACACAGTTGAATATTAATAGTAAGCTCTTTTTATTCTCTGAAGAAATTCCTAGAGTCAGTAAGGCGAAATATTTAGGATTAATGCTAAATGAAAGATTAAAATGGGGAGTATTATAGAGGTCAGAAGAAAGGTTTTCACTGTTGTAAATAGTCTCCCCCCTATATTGAGTAATTATTCTAGCTTAGACCTCAGGAAAAAGTCCCTACACTTGAGTACAAAGCACAAAATGTTCATAAAACTGCATGAAACTGATAGAAAAATCCTTACTGATGTCATTCAACTTGTCTGTCTCTGTGGCTTGAATATCGGTTACGTCAATCGAAGCGTTTGACCCTACACATGAAGTTTGATTTGGGGAATTAAAAAGTCATCCGGCACTAAATCAGGTGAATACGGAGGACGGTTGAGAACTGGCACACATTTTGCGCTAGAAACTGCACCACAACACCAGCCGTGTGAACAGGTAGTTTTATCGTGCAGCGAGAATAATTCCCTTTCCTTTTATCGTTCCGTACGAACTCGCTGAATCCTCTTGCAGAACCAAACCATGAATCCAGGTAAAACTGTAATCTGTAATCCATAAACTGTAATGCATGAAAATCTATTACATGTAAACTGTAATCTATGAACCGAGATAAAACTGAGAATTGCATTGCAGTTTTACCTGGGATGATGAAATTTTGATTCCCAGTTATGATTATACTATGTCTCTGAATTCCCAGTTGTGACATATTATCAGGTTCAATGTTCCGTCTTACCTTCTTCGGGAACATGCAAGGACCTGACTCGGAACAGAGAGCTTACTAAAGCTATGTTCAAAATTGGGGGAAGTAGACAGGATACACAAGAAGGGTATACAAAACCCTTTATTTTTCTCTATTTACAATAAATTCCGTACTTCGGAATACACAGACCCGCTACTTGGGTCTAACGTAAAAATATAAAAAAATAGAACTAAACTCTAATTTAACTTTAAAATAATAAACGTGGAAAGATTGGCCTTATATTAAACAGGAAGCCGTATGTAGTACAGAGAACTGTGAACACTACAATACGTTTAAAATTTATCAAGAGGATTAAACCTTTGGCCTGGAAGGCAACCAGCAACTGCGTAAAACTTCTAAGGTAAGCGGCCTGCTTTCGACTCACTGCTTCCTCTCTCTCGCTTGGCAAAAAGCCAAAACTTAAATACTTGGCGTTCGCCAGACAAACTTTGCATAACTACTTTAACGCTTATAATCTGGGCCGGAAGTAGAAAATAAGAAGTGATAGTAAAGATTTAAAATAAAATAAACGTTAGTAAAACTTAAGATCCTTACAATATGATGGCTGAAGATTCCCAGTCATGATTATATGCCAAGAAGAAATAAAGATTCCTAATTATGGTTATATTTCAAGATGAACTTTTCGGAACTTTTTCAGTGTATATCACATTAATGCCTAGTGTCATATGTATAGGCCATGATTTTCTCTAAAATCTCTGTTAATAATTTTGATAAAATTTAATATACTATGGTGTTTATATCACAATTACTTGAAAGGCGTAATCTTCAGGAATTTGCTCGGAAAAAAATAGTAATTTGAATGGTAATGGATTATAATAAAGGGCAGCAGAAACCCAGTTAATGGAATTTAATAGAGATGGATAACAGTTTTTATTAGATATCCGATGGTCAAACTCAACCTCATAAAACCTGGAAGTGTATCCTTAATGTCTCCTCCTTACATCTTTTTTGAAGCTAATATTCTCTCAAATACATGTTTCATAAATGAAAGTTTGAAAATTAGTTTTTAAGATTTTTCGTTTTAATAACCTGTAATAACAAAATATTGTTAAATTTCTCTGCATTAAATGATACCTTTTGAATTATTGAATCAACGTCGCATAGATACGTTGAAAATACACAAGTCGAAATTACAGTATTGTAATTTAAATGTTTGTATGAATATTTACAAAAAATTTTATGTTAATAAAGCATTACTAAATTAGTCTAAATAATCAAGTTTTCAAATTTTAGAAATATCTTTCTGAAATATTTCCAGTAGGTAGTGGCAGTCCACTGACAGGTTTCCTAGTAGAAAAACGAAACTGCACTTGGAATGATATGCAGAACTTTTGCATAATCTGCTGGAATCTTTGAAGTTTCCTTTTTTAGGAGGGGATTAGTTTATTCTTGTTGAACGAAAATCTTATACCCAACGCAGTTTTAATTATCATAATTCTATCAATAAATTTCAGTTTTTAGAAATCATCTATTGCAAAGAGATTGCGCAATGCATCATTTACGATGCAATTATTGTGCAATCAATTAATTTATTCACCATGAAATCATTTAATTTATTCATAAATTATGCTGCATTTAATTATAAAAAATGAAACAATGAAGAAAAGCATACTTTTAGAACTGAAATGCAGGCTTTACGGGCTCACAGATTCCATGTTACTGTCCTCCTTTGTTTTGATTAACTCTTTCAAATCCAAACCCTTCGCTAACCTGTATCCTCAAAATACCAAACCGCCCGAAATACTTTTCGATTTCACAGCAATTTCCTCCCCTCTCCGTCCATTAATGCAGAAAATAGGTGTGAAGATTTCGAATGACTTTGTACTTTCTAACAAAGATTCCATTAAACTTTGACCCCGTTCTTTATAAAACTATTCTGAAGGTCAGACCAACAAGCCTTTCTGGCTTTGTAGTGATCACGACTGAGATTTGTTTATTTCCGTTATTTTTAGGAAAGAATAAATTGATTAAAAATAAACGTAATCCTTAAATTTTTAAACTGCACTTTTATTGCTGTTTAAAGCTTAAAAGCACACTGTACCACAAAAGAATCAACAATAAAATGTCACGAGCAACCAAAAGATAAGAAACCTCTTAGAACAAGCTGACTGCAATAAACTGATACAATGCATTTGGAGAAACTGCACCTGCTACTGCATACTTTAGGAGGAGGGAAGAAAACAAGATAACAATCTCGGCCGTGTTCGGGCGGTTCTGGTTGTTTCAGTGTAGGGCCATGTGTGGCAGATTGGTTGTGAAAGAGTTAACCAGGGTTTTGCATTTAATTAAAGAAAAAAAAAAAAATGGTGATTTTGTGAAATATGTGTATGACAATTTCCTACATCAACATTGAGTAACTATATGTAATTAATTTTCTTGTGTCTTTAAAGTGCTGCTACGCTGCCTATCACGTTCAAGTGTCTGGAGGAAAACAACAATATCGATTGTCGGGTTACGAGGTTTGTTCTACCAGTCGGAGCAACAGTTAATATGGATGGCACTGCTCTGTACGAAGCTGTCGCCGCGTTGTTCATCGCCCAAATGAACGGTATCGACTTGTCTGCCGGAGAAATTATCACAGTGAGGTTAGTATTTCTTACATATTTGATGCACGAAATACTTCCGGTAACCTTTTCGCCTCATTCACGATACCGTCCACACTTTTTCAATAATTTACTGGTTCTTCAAACATACATGTTTTACGATGTTTTCTGATAAATTATGTGTAGATATATATACAGGGTGTTTATAAAGTCCCGGACCCACTTTGATGTTTAGTAACTCATAAAATAATAAAGATAGATAAAATTAATAACATAAATGGTTAGATAGACTCAAAAAGTTTCATGACCCTTGTCAATGAACTTCCACGTGTGCCCCTTTCGTCGCACGGAGAATATCAAGTCGATATTCAATTTCACGCCAGGTACCGGCAAGCATGTCGGTATCCACAGAGGCTATTGCGGTTGTAATTCTGGCTTTTAGGTCATCAATGTTCGACACTCTCCTCCTGTAAATGTTGTCCTTTACAAATCCCCAAAGGAAAAAGTCCGTAACATTGCAATAGTTGCCAAAAACAAAAGAGAGAAAAATGCAATTAATAAGCAGACGATATTTAGAAAAGTACAGATATTTAGACTGGAAAATGAAAGAATCCCCTTGTCAGATCACTCAGTGTTCTTTGATCTACGTGTTTGCGCGGTTGTTTTTACAATTGTTTTTTACATTTAACGTGAAAATAATTATTTCACGATGCCTCCCAAGGAGATTGTTGCCTTAGATAGTGCTGAAAAGAAAAAGAAGGAAGCCATGACCGTTGAAATTAAGAAAGAAATCATAGATAAACATAAGCGTGGTGTAAGAGTGACATAAGCGTGGTATAAGAGTGGATTATTCTGAAGGAGAAGGAGGAAATTAAGAAACTTGATGTGGCCAAAGGAGTTACAGTTACTTCTAAGCAATGTCCAAAAAGCCTAGAAAATTTTGAGAAGCTGTTGTTGGTGTGGATGAACGAGAAGCAGTCAAAAGAAGATTCGGTGTCGGGATCTATCATAAAGGTAAACTACGGCTATATTATTTACCAGTGTTATGTATATTAGAAAAATTGATTTTTATGTTGATATTTTTGGGGATGCGGAACGGATTAACTGGATTTCCATTATTTTCAATGGGGAAGTATGCTAAGTAGATGATACTTTTAGGGAGAGAAAACTGTAGATTAGGATGTAATTATCGCCATCTATAATTGTCTTGAAGGTTCACTGTTACTTCTTAAAAAACATCATTCCTTAAACTTTGTAGACACATAGTGTATAATTTCAGAAAAAGAATTTTGTAATGTACATAGCCCTGATGAGGAGGAAAAAAATATTTACAATAGGCAATATTCTTTAAAGTGCAAGTCATATATGTCTAGAAATAGTTTTCTAAGTAACTCACGAGCCAATGATCTTGTTATAGAAAATTGTTATGTATTATTTTGTTGTGTACAATTGTTATGTATTATTTTGTTGTGTACAATTATTATATTACTTTACTGTGTTTAATGAATTTGTATTGTTATTATTTAAGAATTAATGTATAATATTTAGTATTGTTAAACTTTATGGCAAAGCTCATTTTAGCTGAAGAGTGTGATTTAAAAAAAAGGGCGAGGCTCGTTACTTCTGTTTCCCACGAAACGGTCAGTTGTGGCCAGCTGCATTTTCCTCTTTTCGCAGGGGTTGAAAACACGTGTTTTGCTCGTTCAGGGGCGAATAGTTCTAGAGGGCGGCGATATTTGACAGAGTTATAGGTTGGAAACATTCCTTTTTGCGTAGGAAAGAAAGGGTCTGTCATCTTGTAGAGAGTTCTGAATTTCTTAGAATTTTGGTCATGGTTTATCACCTTTTTTCTAGTTGGCTACAGGGAGTTCTAGTTTTGTTTAAGATTGGCTAAATTTTAATTTTAGTGTGGTTTGAGCCAATGGTGAATTAGAGGCGTTTACGTGTTGAGCATTCTACCGAGTTTTCTTAAGCCGTTGCACGGTTGAAGAAGGGAGGTTTTTGCGAGATTTTCGTGAGATTTGGTCCAGTTTTAATCGGCTTTGAGAGAAGCGTTACCCGGCGACCCCTTGGGGGCGACCGCGTTACGGTTAATATTGTTTATCTCCGTGGCACTGGCAGCGGGGACGGGTCCGAGCTCGTCGCGGGCTCCTTTCGGTTAAATTTCGGCGTAATTGGCTGAAGATCTCGGGCTAGGTCCAGCGTCTTAGTCATATCTCTGCCGTTCTCTACGTGTGGAAGAGTTGAGTCTGAATTGCTGTTGCTGAGGTTACAGTTTGCTTTGGAAAATGTGGAAAAGAGGGAAGTCATCATCTCCTGTTGTCCATCTCTCCTCTGTTATCTTCAGAGAATAAAAGGGAAGGGTGATTTTTTTTTTTCAGTTAAATGCTGCTGGAACGAATACTGCGGGTGCTATGAGAGAATTCCCGTTATAACTTAAACAGACATCAGTATCGGTTTTCCTGACAACGATGAAGTGGAACTATGAGAAATTTCGTGTTGTGCCTTGAGCAGACATCAGTATCGGTTTTCCTGAAAACGATGTAGGGGAATTTTGAAAATATTTCCGTTGTGCCTGGAACAGACTTCAGTATCGGTTTTCCGGATAACGATGAAGTTGGACCATTTTGTGACTGGATCTCGGCAGCTCCCCGAGGCTCTCAGACTGGTATACGCGGATTCGTGAGCAAACAGTTTTATTTTTATTTTGCTTTTTTTTATAAGTAATCGTTAGGATTTGGTAAGAGTTAAATTCTAACACCTTAGCTGACTTTTTATATAGATTAAAATTTGTATTTTGCTGTTAATAGATAATCAATAGTTGAGAAAGTGTTGTGAATAATAAATAGTTGAGAAAGTGTTTGCTATGTTTTTTTAAATGCTTAATTGTCATGAGTTTAATTCTTGAGTTCATGTTTTAAAAAGCTTAATATTGAGGTGCTTCACTGTGATTTGTATGACGTGAATTATGTTAAAAAATGAGATCGAAATAATGAGTAAATTTTAAGATTATGTTTTGTAGGGGTGGCTGATCAGCTATCTTAAATTATAATGTGTGGGAATATTCAATAAATGTGTTTATTATTATTATTATTATTATTATTATGTATTATTTTAGTTTTAATTGTGGTCTACTGTAGGTCACCCTTGTGATCCTTACGGAATACATGGTTATTACTATCGAACCTGGGTAACCATATTGCGGTAGTAGAAAATGAAGTTTTAAGTGGGCTTGGTGACTATACGATCGGCTACTTAATTTATTTTTGATTTGTTGAGTAGACTTCTTAAATGTGAGATGTATCCTTCCCTGGTGTTTTGAAGAGATCTGTGTGGTATTTTAAATGTTAAGGATTTAAGGGCTATCTCTAGAATTGTATGGAAAATTATATGTTTTCAGGTTGGAGATCTAAATTAGTTTTATTTTAATGCGAGAGAAAGCAGATTGATGATTTTGTTGCGGAAGTGCATTTTTCGACATTTTGGTTTTGATAGAAAATCGTTATTTTTACCAAAACACCAGGGAGGATATTTTCTCTTTATTTCTTTGATATAAAGTTTAAGATTTTGATTATGAAAGTAGTATGTAGTACTTAGTTTCAGTTTGAGTTTTACTTTTACGTTGCGGGCACCAAAGAAGAAAGTTAGTTAAGAAATAGTCAGTTTAAATGAGTGTAAAAGGAAAAAAAAAAAAAAAAATTTTTTTTTCTACGTAACAATCTCATGGAACGTGCAATTTGAAAAGCGATCTTTGAGAATTTCGATAAATAAATAAAAAAAAAAAAAAAAAAAAAGGAGAGAGAGAAAGTGGTGAATTTCTGAAGAAATTAAATTATCGCAAATAATGATACTTTTCAGCTGATGATATTTTATTTTTAATAAAATACTGAAAGAGTTATCCAGAAGTTAGATATGTGAATTTTCCAGACTAATGACTAAATAGATGGAGGATTAACAAGCGAATTTATGTGACCGCCTACAGATAATAAAACAAGAAATAACAAAAATCCATTGCATGCTGTAGTTTTCGCAAGAGAAATAAAGATCAAAGGAGACCCTGAATTACATTGACAGATTTATTGTAAATTTCATCTTTTCAAGTTTCATTTAAACGATATTTTCAGCGAAATTTAGTCATTTTGATTTTTTTAGGGTATTTTTCACAATAATTGTAATCTTTGCTTAAGATGCTAAGCAAAACTTCTGAATGAAATTTTGTTTAAATTAAAATATTTTGCCAATCCCGCATAGTTTGAGATGAAGAAATAATATTCATATCTAAGTTCTGTTTCTGAAAATAATTCTTTTTGGTTTCCTGTATCTTAGATGTTGTAGCGGCAAGTATGGCAGAGTTATTCCTATCGGAATTTCGATTACTGAGGACCTGAACTCGTTAATTTTTGTTTGGACAGATGACGCCGAAATGTGTAGAAAAAGTATTGCAAGGTATATAACTATCATGAGCAAAACTCTTCGAAACCTTCATTCCATTCTTTCTGTAATTCGCAATAATTTAAAGATTGGACTCTGTTATTTCGCTTAATTCTATACCTCATCGCTTATTGCGCTCGCTTCTATTCTATATCTTAACTGTGTGTCTTTTACCAATTTTTTTTTTTTTTTTTTTTTACAATTCTTTTCTTATCATGGCAGCTTTTCTTTAAATTCCACCAAAATTAATTATCAACAAATCCTCCATCTACGCCGCAAACGGTCGCCAAATGTCCGAAATTCTTTTGCATCTTCCTTCCAATTCTGGTAAATAAAATCTATTAGCATTAAAAAAAAGAGCTAAAAGAAGAAGCTAGAAAATTCGGTAGAGATAATGGTAACACGTAACCTATTTATCCTTTTCATCTGCTTTCCTTAATTCTTCAGTCTGGGGGAAAAGGGTGGGAAAGGAAGAAGAAATGAGTCTATTATTCCTATTTATGATAATTCAATGTAACAGAATTGTGTTTTAATTAATATTAAATTACAAATGATCAATTATTTTTAAAAAGTGAAACATTAACTATGGACCATAATTTGGAAAATTCAATAATAATGGGTATTTGTCATGTGTATTGTACTTTTGTTATATCTTTTATATATTCTTTGAAAAATGTATTTGATATTAATTAAAATACGTAATGTTCTCAAAAATTTCTGTTTTAGTTAAAATTGATAATGTAATGGTGGGGAATAAATTGGTTTATCTGAAGTAGTTATTGTTGTTAAGTATGAAAGTCATTTAGTCGAACCCATAGAAAATATGTATTTAGATTGCAAAATTTATTTTAAATGTACAATATAAATGTAAGAGGAGTTTAATTTCAGTTCCTTGGTATATTTGAAGGTCGTAAAAATTGAGCGAAAAGTACTTGTATCTCTTTGATTTAAAGTAAGTGCATCGAAAGAAAGTTTTAATCATATTATAGTTTTCGTTTTCTTTATATTCTTAGGAATCAAACAAGAATTATTCAGATTAATTAAATCTGTTCATACAGAAAGCTTATGGAAATGAAATCTCCTGGTAATAATAATTCAGACTCTCAATTCAGAGATTTAACTCTTTTGAAATAAGAAAACGACAGCTAACTTCGAACATCTTAGAGATGCAAGCTTGTTTCATGTAAATAAAGAGAGATTTTGAACTGCTAACGATTTTATTATTATCAAAAATTGAATTTTAGCGGCGAGATCTACTACACTGGAATTTTTTCGTTAACGTAGCCATTAACGTATAATAAGCTTCATATTTGTTGAACATTGTAGGGGAATCTATGTATTATAACCATTCATCCAAATTAATTCAGTGGTTTCTTTTTTATAAACAGCAAAAGAAATTCAAAACGTAAACAAACCAATAGTATGTTTAATTTTCCTTAGTTTAAGAATAAGTACAAAGAGTTAACCGGAGTTTCAGACAATAAGAACTCCAGATTATTGGAGTTTCTACTCTACTAAACTGTGTTCTTCTTGTAGCTTAACTGCCACTGCTGCCAGTATCGGAGCTGCCAGTGTGCCAAGTGCTGGTTTAGTGACAATGTTGTTGGTTCTTACTGCTGTTAAACTACCGACTCAGGACATTTCTATGATCCTTGCTGTCGACTGGCTCCTGTGAGTGCTTTCTTTTTTTTTATATTGACTGAAATTTTATTTTTATTTATGACATTTTTAATCAATACTCAAATTATTAAAGAAAATTCTGATTCAAAACTGTGTTGTATAGTTTCAAATGCATATGTTTCTGAAGTTTAGGAATACTGTCCTAAGCAGTATTTAATTGTTGAATTTTAAATATTGTAACTGACTTCCTGCAGTTATACGAGAAATAACATGATATTCGATTCCATCCCTAATCATCCTTGCATGTGTTTGGACAATGACCCCAAAGCATTACCAATGCAATTTTAAAACTTATCCGGAATTGCACATAACGCTATCACTTATAAGTTGCATGCTTTGAAGATACTTGTAGGAGCTTAACAGTCCCATTGTCCTACTGCAGAATCAGAAACAAAGAGTGTGAAGCGTAAAAGTTGCTTGAGAGTAACAATGACCACAGTGCTTTATTTCTTGCTGTGGGCTCGTAATATGGGGGTCTTATCTCTAAGATTTCTTTGGACAGGAATTTTGCAGAATTATTTTGCTTTATTTACTCGTTTTAGTTTTTTTTTTTTTTTTAAATAGTGGGTTATTATTGCATCTTAATAACCTTTAAAATAAATACGAATAATCCTTAGAAAATGTATAAATCTTTTAAAATGCCTGTCTGAGTCCTGATTGTGTATTATTGCTTTGACTTTTAGCCTTAGTCTTTATTAATTAATTTTACTAACTGTACTTTTAGTTACTATGGAAATAGTACTTTACTCGTTCACTAAAGCAGACTTTTGATGAACCACCCTTGAAAATACCCTTGTCCTTGAAAGCTTATTCATGACTTGTGAAACTCTATCATAAAATAATATTTATAGGCATTTCTTCCTTAACATTAGGTTTTCAGACCATACCTGTTAGTTACACAACTATAGAGTATGTCTCGATTATTTTCATACATGTTTCATGTTCTTGACTTAAATCATTTCCATCTTATAAGACGATAATTATAATTGCTTGCTTTATGCTGCCTTGCACCAGATTCCAAACTCTCTGTTGTGTATGAAGAAATTCTTGTGTTTGTGACGTAAAGTAGATCACGTATACGTACACTACAGCACGGATTAAAATTCAACAAAAGTGCAGTCAGCGATAAAACTTTCTCTTATTTGCCCTAATTATTACATCTTTATATTTTTTAAGATTTTTCTGAAAATGTTAAACGGCTTAAATGTACTTTCCTAAAGTATGTACAACTTGTTAATAACTTTGCTCCGAATTTATCAAATTGGTGAAAAAATTTGGTGCCTTTTCAAATATCTGGCATTTTTGTTTTAAGCATTATAGCCAATAGGAAAATAAACATAAACATAAATAAACCTTAATAATGTTGGGTCATTTAATCTAGTGAATGCACACATAATAGCTGTCTGCCTCAGATTGTTCTCAGTTTTGATTGATAGCAGCCCTTATTACCACTAGATAATCAACTTGACAGCAACTAAACGAACAGTTATTAAAAGCCCTCCTGTGGTAAGTCCTTATAACCTGTTCAAATAACAGAAGCTGTATTCTAAAGTGCTTACGACAATAGACATGTGAATGTCAAGGTTAGAAAATCGAATTCAAAATTATCAAATGACTAAACCTTAACACCTTGAGCATACAAAAGCGAATAGAATTTAAATTGTCAGCTTCAGGCAACAGATTGTATAAATGCAAATAACTGGGCAAAAACTAAGCTGTATTCTAATCGCCCCTTAGTTTACGGAACTCCGGGATCTGGTATTTCTCTTCCTTTAACACCTTCAGCAAGTACTTTTGGATCGGAATATTTTAAGTGACCCTCTCAGGAAAGCCACTATTCACATTTTTTATATTGATCGGATGTTTTATTACTGATTAAGTATTTACTCT